GGGAAAACTCTATGTTTTCCCCTCAAATGGCTGTGGCCCCGCCCCCAGCGTGCCCGGCGTCATCACGTCACCTCCGGCTGACGTGCATGCGGCGCTCGCGGGAAAACTCTATGTTTTCCCCTCAAATGGCTGTGGCCCCGCCCCCAGCGTGCCCGGCGTCATCACGTCACCTCCGGCTGACGTGCATGCGGCGCTCGCGCACTGAAGACGCCGTCCGGGAGCCCCCCGCCGCGGAAGAAAAACGACTTGGCAACCCTACCCCCCGCACAAAAGTGATATTTGTCTGCTGTACGTCGATCCCAAGAGGGGTAAGGAGGTTACTTCCTCATCACACCCATGAAGAAAAATGACTTGGCAACCCTACCCCCCCGCACAAAAGTGATATTTGTCTGCTGTACGTCGATCCCAAGAGGGGTAAGGAGGTTACTTCCTCATCACACCCACCACAAAGGACTACCAGAAGGCTCAGACTTTCAGAACACGCAAAGAATCCTTGCTTACAGCCTTATGTGGCAGCTCTAACCACATGGAGGACTGTAGTGGCTGATTATGTGGTAAGAGAACTCTAAGCAGATACTACTTTGACCATTCAGAAAGCCAGAAGCAGCCGGGGCATACCATGACTGCTAGCAATCCTCACAGAACATCTTTCCTTGTGGTTACAACCGCCACGCGGCATGCAGTCTCCCTTGGATGACCGTATAACTTATAAACTCAGCCAAGCCATTTATTCCAATGTCCCTGCTTCATATTCTTTTGGTTTTTTTCCGTCCAGATCTTGTCATGGCACACGAACTACCACAAAAGAGCTAAACAAGAGATTTTGTGAATTTTCTCCGTCATAAGTAGTAGTAACCAAAGGCCAACACTGGTGTGTGACTGGACAATAATGTAAGAAAAGAGACTGGAGACTTTACGTAGCAATGTGAATCACACAAGAAAATGTAGCAGAAAACGCAGGGTTGCACGAGAAGCGAAATATAAATCTTCTCTCGACTCCAGCCAGTTTATGTGGTGGCAATGAACAGACAGACCAAGGCTGATTTCGCACTAGAGCTACCTCAAT